TAGAGTACCCAACGAGGAAACACAGATAATAGAATCAACATGAATTATTTAAGACATACTTAAAACACTTCCATTAACACAAGCGTAGCACTACTACAAGCAACTCTCTGTTGCACGAAATACCGATTACACACTCTTGCAAAGATGGGATAAAACTCTCAACCTAGTCTACCCAGGAACTCCCAACATCTTTCACAATAAGAATTGTGTTTATCCAACTGTTCCTAATCTACCCAGAAGAAACAGTAAACTCTCAACATAAACTCACTTAGATTGTTCTTGAGTTCTTCATAGAGTATCCTCTCTCACCCACTCTGATTTTTACGTGAAGAAGAACCAACTTTCAAAGCCTCCTCAGCAGTCCCGTTATATTGGTTTTCCACTAACCAATATTTTTGAAGAGGCATGCTTCGGACCAGTAGACAAACCACTGTTACGCAACAGTGAAGTTTTCTGTTTCACCTGCCACCAGTCACATCACCTTGTGTAACGCGCCCAGCTTTGTGCTTTTTGCCTTTTTGCACAAAGTCTTCTCTTCGTTAGTTGAACCAACTTCTGCACGATCTCTCCCACTTGCGTTCCCATAGCTCGAGACAATCATTGACATTCACACGTGTGATCTTGAATTCACACGTGTGACGTTGACTTCAGCTTTGTTTGTCCTGTGTAACACATGACTCCTCACAGCTTTTTTGATTCTTAGTTGCCATCTTTGATGCATCTACAATCTCCCCCTTTTTACTTGAGTATGTCAATCCAAGCAATTGTCTAAACAGAACACACACAAAAGACAGATACACACATTTTAATGGAATCACCTCAGTGATGTCCAAGATTCTTCAACAACAATACCAAAATAGAGCTATAGAATGAAATCTCCTCAGTGAGTTTTAAAACCGTATTCACATGTATGTTGGATAGATCAGAGCAAGCTAAGCCAACCAAGCAAAATACACAACATAGATACTTAGTAGAATCACACAAATAAGTTTGAAACAGTGAGGTTCGAGACTAGGTTTAATACTTAAACAATAGAACCAATCCTAAGGCTAAGTTCTAGACTTAAGAGATTCTAGTGGAAGAGTATCAAAGATAATTTAAGAAATAAGTTTTTAAGTTTCAGAGATTCAGAGAGATAGATAGAGAGACATATCAGTCAGAGAGATTTTGAAGAAACATGAGCATCATGTTTCGTTTTTGAGGTGCCGGTCCTATCCTGTTTCATCACACCACCATGTTTTACCAAAGCACGCTCCCCCTTAGTTGCACGTACTACTTCACCATCTTTATTGACGGTGAACCCATATTCTCTCCCTGTTTGGATGCATACTTATGTAAAAACATAAGCTAAAGAGAAATATTAACGAAATAGCAGCACAAGAGGGATAGAAAAACCTGTCATACGTGGCTGGATAAACCTAACCATTTTTATTAGAAGATTGAAATCATGAACAATCTTTGGAAGCCGCGGTTCCCTAGGTAGTCCAAACATAAAAGACGACTTGTTTACAAGTTAAAGAAGTCCTGGAGCAGCGGAGGTCTGA